TACGTTGATAACATGTGTTGAATAGGCAGTGAATAACAATACAAACCAACAATCTAAAACATTTTTAAAATGAAACGTTTACTTGTAGCTTTTTTGCTTTTTCCATCTTTTCTTTCTCAGCTTGAATCCATGGACTTCCTTCAAACTGAGCTGCCAGTGCGGGATTACTGTTCATCATCAGCAATAATAATTGAAGTTGTCTAACCAGAGCAAATATGTCACACGATTATATAATGTTTATTAATCTCTTTTTTGAAATTAACTTTGAGAACAGTCGCAGCGGCATTAATGTTATCACGTGTACGTAGGTAAATTGTTGCGTAAAAAGCCCAGTCAAAAGAGTTCATGAGAATTGCCAGTTACACATTGTTACGGGGTACATTTCAAGCTCTAGATTAACAAAATAAAAGTGACTTGATGAGCGTTCCAACTCTTACAATTTAAAAAAATGCATATCACGCACTCTTCCGGCGCCCTAATCCTCGGTTGATCCGAGCTTATATAAACATGCAAATTTTCAACAAAATATATATTATGAATATATTATGAATAAATTACAATGGGACATATAAGTTCCCATTTGTAATCAATTTGAGACTGTAACGAACATAACGATCCAAAACACTTAAACCCTTGCAAGATATATAATTTAAACTGAAGGATAATGAAAATGTAATGCACATATGTATATTGGTCAGAATTTTTCCAGTGGGTAGTCGACAATTTCGCAAGGGAGCTAGGGGCAAGTCAGAGGTCCTCGAGCTTCCCTTCTGACCTGGTTAATGACCACCTTGTGACATAGTCGTTGACATCCATGTACAATTCATATGGACGAAAATCTCGAGAAATATAAGGCAGCTTACCCTGATACTGCAGGTTCTTTTGGAAGATCAGATGGATCCAAGCACTGTGAAAGGATGTATTCCAAAACGTCCTCGTTATTTCTATTAGATATAAGAGCGAAATATTAAGTTGTTCAAATCTGAAACTTTGAAAATCGTTTTCATCTAATGTACGGATGAACAGTCGGAAATAGGTAGCAACATGACACTTCGAAACTTCAATACTTTCAATGTCTGTAATTTTATATAACAACTTTATTGGTACCACAACGAATACATTATTCATTAAAATAAGAACAATAAGATTAATGTTTGTAATATTAAATGGCACAAAAAGGAAAGATGCAAACGAGACGGTTACGTCCATGCATGCATACAAGACCTTTACTATATCAACTATTGATCTCAGTTTGGATACAGAGCGTATGCATAAATGATCTAGTGGGGGGGGTGCTCTGCCAGCTCTGGTGCTGAGTTGTGTCGGTCATGTATGCCGCCCGCCCATCAACTTGCTTCACTACTGCAAAGTCTTGTTTGACTACTATATTTGAATTGTAATTGTTGTTCACAGTTCGTTTATCATCATGTTATTACTCAAACTACTGTATCTCATTTTGTCTCTAATATTATTTTTGCTTTATCATGCAAAAGAGCACCTCCTCTGGCCAGGGCTGGGGGGGGGGTGCGCACACCCACTAAATCCATCCCTGTTGCTGACATGTTACAAGAGGTTCTGGTGATTGGTAGGAAATAAAAAAAATTGTCTAGAGAGAAATTGATTATTGGTGGCCTCTCGAAACTTTCCAGTGAATAATTCACAAGTCACACCAATATGACCGCCCCAAGTCTCACTATCTCGTGTTTAAAGCTTTCAACATTAGTAAATCGTAATATAATTCACTATGTAAATACCACTATAACTATTTTTAGAGTTGTATTTTGACATTTTATCTGTTCTTAATCTTGTAAACCGATGTAATTCAGTCTTTGACTGCAAAATTGGACTTTTTAATAAATCATATAATCATATGTAAAACTCATTTGAAGAGGCGTGGGAAGCTATATCTTCCAAGTTACGTAGAAGTATACATAAAGGTTTCACGAGCGAAATATATAGACAAGGTTTCTATCAGTCACTATTCATTCTTAGATGCAAACGACAGCAAATTAAAATCCTCAGATGTTTCTATTTAAATTAGTTTCAGGGAGACGTGATGGTTCGCTTGCATTTGAAACAGATATATCAGAAGCATTTTCATATGGTCTTTAAAAAATTATATACCACCAAAGTTTAACCATTTAGACATTTTCCGTGAAACGAAAAGTGGAATGTCCATATTCCGTATACGGCTTCAGAAAAACGAATTAATTTTTATCTTGTTTATATAGTGCCTATATATGCAAATAATGAATGTTTATGAGTGCAATGGTAAGAATATTTTCATGAGGTGAAAGATGGAATGTTCCATTCAACGAGGCGATAGCCGAGTTGAATGGAACATTCCATCTTTCACCGAATGAAAATATTTTTACCATTGCACGAATAAAAACATTCGTTATTTGTTTTATATAATACCAAAATAGACTAATATTAAAAGGTTTACTGTAAGCTCCCGCCATTTTGACGAGTCGTATTTGCATTAAATCCCATTTACTGAGTTTCGAATATCGGGTTAAAATAAACTGCGATCGCCGTACGAGAAGCATTTTGACGGATGCGATTTATCGAAAACACAAAGAGTGCAATGGAATAAAACGTATAGTACAATTGCACTCGCAAGAGTGCAATGGAACGTATTCCATTGCACTCTTGGGAAATGGAATTTTCTATTCAATATCACGTGACCATAAACAGCCAATTAAACGATCAGAATTCAATAAGGTATTATATAAATGCAAAATCAGGTTGTTGACATACTTTTCACAATCAGCTGAACCGTGAACTTTGATTTGTGACAAACATCTAAAGACATTAGTAAAATCTGCTCCTACAAAGAATAGAAACCAAAAATATCGTGAGTGTATAGTTTTTGACAAACATTTACCGGAAGTACAGTACTAAGGTTTATCAAGGGAAAGATAAGGGAAGAATACTACTAGATGTAGGAACCTACACTTTCCTTCGTGCTTTCTCAGAAACATGCACTATAAAAATATGTATAAAACAGGGTATATAAATAAAATAATAAATTTCATATTTACCTGTTTCTTCCATGGTTTGTAATAGTTCCTCAACCAATTTCCTGAAATGTAAAGACAGTGTAATGCCTGTAACATGGCTGTTGATATTTATAGTCAAGCAACATGCGAGGTTTATTTGCTTTAAATTTTTCCATTATCTTCACATATATTTCACTGCATATGGTTTGTGTGATGTATTTGGTAGCCAGTACTATTTTAGGTAGTTTATAGGCGTAAGTTTACAAACATATATACTAGCCCACCTGACTATATATATCATTGAATAAAAGAATCAACCTATTAGATTCCCTGCTGAAAGACGTCTCCGTAGCGCCGGAGAGAGAGCTAGGGGAAACTTATTAGAGAGTGCATGTCAGAGGAGCTAGTGTCAGAGGCAACATATTAGAGTCACACCGTTGTATTGCGGGCTCAAAGTCCTGCTGGGCCGAGTAGATCAACAGATCTCGGTCGCCACCAACTTACATGAACTGGCTTTGTGATTGGTTGATCATAACAATAAAAGCTAATGAACTATAAAAATTACCTTTCTAAAGAACGAGTCATAAACACTGATCGCTACTGTTTCATGAAGCCAATCACAAAACACGATCATGTTAGGTTGGTATTTACTCACAGATCCGTCGTATATTCAAACCAGAGAATCCTTGCTTCTTTTATCTGACTCTTATTAGAAATTTAGAAATGTACCAAGCAAAGAATTTTTATCGTTATTTGTTGATTTTGGGCAAGATAAAAACAATAACAAAAGCCCGCGATACCATGGTGTGACAATAATCCTTTCAAACCACACTTATTCATTATATACCACCATTATTGACAATGTTTACCCGACTTACCGATCGCTTGCAAGTGCCTTCCATGTTATTCCAAGCTAAAATTTAACATTGATCAAATCTTCAACATGCAGTACTGATCAACATATTTCAATTACGTTTTCTAATGTTTCTAATATAGTGATCCCGTTTTTGAAGTACAAATAGTATTTATTAACGGTGACATTATTCGTATTTAATTTGCCCTATGTATAGTTTGTCATGAAAATGCATCAGTCATAACTTTTAACCTTGTGTTGAATATTATGTTATTGTCTCCTCTACAGGGTGTCTCAAAAAAAAAACGCTATGGAAATTCAACAGGCTGTTGTGCATCACAAACTTAACTAAACAATTCAATTTTTACATAGGGACGAAAGAGCTAGCTGTTATTTAGCTTTTCTATGATATATTGCTTAAACCGTAACGATCAGAAATGGCCATAAACTCGTCAAATAAAAATTTTCAGTCGAAATCACATTCTTCCACCGTTGGGAATTGAAAATACATTAATTATGCAAAGTTAATTAATCCAAAAGCACCGCGAGTCTAAAACGTTTTGATTACGAATGTTCTCTGTTCAGGGGTTAATTGAACCATGTTTAATGCAATAATGGACGTTCTTATGGTGTCACTAAGACGAAGATTGACGAGTTGAGCTAATTTTAGATCATTTAACATTCAATTTTAATTCCCTCTTGGGAATTGTTTTTGTTTCGTTTTCCATGCAATTCCCAACGGTGCATGGAAGAATGTGATTTCGACCGGCAATTTTTATTTGACGAGTATGTGGCCATTTCTCATCGTTACGGTTTAAGAAATATATCATAGAAAAGCTAAATAACTGTTCTTTCGTCCTATGTAAAAATTGAATTGTTTAGCCACGTTTATGATGCCCGACAGCCTGTTGAATTTCCGTAGCGTTTTTTTTAGACATCCTGTACAATCATATATAGAGCATACAAGAAGTGTTCTACTCGATACATTGAATTATCTTCCTCCAATCATTCATGCAAGTATTCCACAAATCTTCTGTTAATTAAAGAGTCATTGTCAACCACAATGCATTGCGCGCCCAAACCTGCTTGGCGGCCATTTTAATGGCGGAATAATAGATGTTTCGGTTTTCAATCCATAATATATTACTACCATCCTGTGGTTATACTTTCTAATTTTAACTTTTTTATACTAAAATTGCACCAAAGAAATGTTTATAATCTTCATTTCTTGCTATTTCTCACTTCCGAAGGTAAAGATGTAAACAAATGCATTGTGGTTGACAATGACTCTTTAAGCCCTACAGGATTGGGCTCATTTATTTCAGTCACGCGTTTCAATAGGGCTTATTGCATGGAGGGTGCACGAGTAATAGTTTTGAACTTAACTAGTCTTAAACCGGATACGTTTTGGAAGTTGCTTCTTCCATCATCAGGCGTAGTGAAATAAAGTTAACCCTACCTTTCTCCGCATTTTATTCAGATAGTAATCCAGAAATTCCAGGTCATAGCTAGCACAAAATAAAACAAGAAACGTACTTTATATAGGATGAATTTGAATGGAAGAAACAACTAACCAGAATCCTTCTTGTCTTTTTTGGCAAAATATTTCTCAAATATAACATGCACAAAGACAAGTATATACTCTGTATAGCTCAATGCTGCACGGATATTACAACAATTATTGGAATAGAACCTCCCCCGGCCTTAATATCCCTCCCCCTCCGTAAGTGCCCACTGTACACTTGATCTTCTTTCTTCTGAAGTAATCCTCTTGCATATAGACGTTAAATAAACATACACATCTTCCAGTAGAATTCGGGATTTTGCTATTGGTAGAACATCAGCCATCGCTTCCGCAAGTTTTATTAAGTTCCACTTGCAAATTTCAGGCTGAGCCTTATAACTGTATCTGGCCATGTCATCTGGAACACAGAAAAGTACAATTTGAACCCAGAGATCACTTTCTAAGTCGATCTGACCATCCACATATATATATGGACGGACAAATTCGTTTAGGCTTAAGTAGATGTATTTGATTTTAAAGCCGCAAGAGCGAATTATAAATTCTGGTTCATTTTCAAACTGCACTATATGCCCAACTGTTTTGGGGACAAATTCTCAAACAATCGCAAATTATGCCGTTTGAAAGTGAAAAATTGTCACGTTTGAAAGTGAAATTTAGAGTATTGTAATCATCTGGAGGACTCTTCCAGTCATATTCTACAATAATCCTCTTTAACGAAAAGACAACCATTTAATTGATATAAATGGAGGTCCTTGGGTTCCGAGGTAGTGTTAGATCTTAGGCTTTATCTTCGAGCCCTTGCACATGCTTAGTGCCCGCACGTTCCTGAAATCAAAACTTACCAGAGGCATTGCACACAAAATCTGGGTTGAAATTATCCATAAAACCAAACGGTCCATAATCAATGGTCAGGCCAAGTATGTTCATATTGTCCGTATTGAGAACTCTATATTAAGGTATATAAAAGGCAATACAGTAAATATGAAATACTTTATTTTTATTTCTTGAGGTACCTATACTAATTACTGGCAGAACGTTTGACATGTCCTCACAGATATGAAAAACTGGTTCCATATTTATTCTGACACTGCAGAGAACAACGAACTCGCATTTTCGGGCTTCTAGACGACCTATTGTGCCATCAAGTCAACGGGGATTGGTAGCGAGTCTTATAAGTGCATGCACGAAATATTTTCGTGACGACTTAACGCTTGTCTTGGAGAACGCGCAGTGTTTCGATTCTATTTTAGAATCACCTCAGGGATCACCGGAACAACGGAAAATTCGTTATATCTTTCGAATCCCGCTCGAGACAGCGAATTTTTCGTTGTAAGAATAAATATGAAACTAGTTAAAAATGCAACCTTTAATGTTGTACCCACCCATGGCAAAATCCCACACATTGCCACTCTGCAACCAGGCGAGCAGTCCGCACGATAACTTCCTTGTAGAAAGCGAGATAACGGTCTTCAGAATTTTCACCGTGTGCTGCATAGATCTAAAATTCATAGAATAACGGCTTATTGACCGAGCGTGAGGTCTGTACTGTGAAATATCAGACCGAGGTTTTTTAGTATGGACCGAGCGACGAAGGAGCGAGGTCCATGCAAAAAACATAGGTCTGATATTTCACAGTACAGACCGAACAAGCGAGGTCAATAATGCTTTTATGCTTTTCGCGCGAATTAAATCGGCTATCGTCAGTTTCACTGGATAACAATATACGGTAGGCATGCATGCTCAATTAAAATTGTAGGCATGCATGCTCAATCTTGAAATTTTTATCTGTAAATTTTAATGACACACAAGTGGAAAATTAAAAAGTAAAAATTTTTTTCTGTAATTTGCAAAGCAAAAATTTCCCGCCAGGTAAACGACATCCGGGACACTGGTCCAGATACGGAAAATACGGACCACGGTCCGGATATGGGTTTTTACGGACCGCTTGTCAACCAATCAGAATAGAGAATTTTGAAAAGCCATATAATAATATGAAGTTATTAATAACTATCATTATAGGAGATGAAAATGAGAATGTTAAGCCAGAGAATTTGGTGCCGTGTCACTGTCAGAAGATGGATGTCAGGAACGAAATATTATAAGGCTGCCAGGATTTCGTAATATAAAAGAAGGTCTTATACTTATTTTCAACTGCATGATTGATTCTTTTCTTAAATTTTACCTGAACATTTTACCTCAACTATATAACTGAGTTATAAATTAAATCTTGCCAGTTGTGGTGTAAATGTGTCAAGTCTGAATAACCTTACCTATATATAAGCCTCGATTACACTATCGAAGTTCCTGGTAAACACCGCGAGTCAGTTCCATCAAACATTTCTTAGAACCGAATCCTTCAAAACCTAGAATTTGCCTCTATAGAGTATAGTATGCAACATTCCTAATGTGATCTGCAACACCAAGAAATTTGTTCGCCTAGGGTTTTAAACATATTTCGAGATTTTTGGATACACTCTCGAGTATATTTGATATGACATCTAAAACGAATCATTATTTAAAGAGAAAACCGCGAGGCTATGAGATTTCGTTGTTTTTTGTTTGAGAATGGTTTTGAGAATTTTTGTTTTTGAGAATTTTTGTTTTGAGAATCTTCCTTCTTGTGTCATATATGTTTATGTAGATTCCACTTAAAGAAAATGAAAACTCGTATATTTTAGAAAAACATGGACCCACCTGTGGATAAAATGTTTTAATGACATAGTCAAGCAATTGAATTAATATATCTTTTCGTCCAGCGCTAGGACCACGCCTTCCAGTCATTAAATCAGCCTGCTTCACAATTTCAAAAGAACCAAATCTAAACATAAATAACAGCCACTTAAATAACACCACTGTAGCACTAGGTACAGTAGCTTTCAGCCGTGCTTTCAGGTCTTTCATATAAATGAAACACCCGCGCTTTTCCTTTTCTATGCATTTAATATATATAATAAAATGTGCCGGGAATTCCAGCTAAATTTTAGACTGGATCAATGGATCAATCACAAAATGATCAAAATGATCCAAATCGGAAAAGTGGGGTTAACGGCGAGAAAACTAAAATCTTAATTTTAATTGTAAATTGGTTTTTATATCTTCTTTTTAGTAATACTATTTTAGCTTCTTAAACTTTATTAATTCATGTTGGCGTGATAACTGCACATTGTATAGTTCTTTGCCAACTTGTAATGAATTATGAATGTAGATATATCTACTGTATACAGGGTGTATAAAAAAAAACTGAACAGATTTGAAATTGCTTTCAATTTCGCAAAACACCTATTTGTATCTGTTTTTTTTATATATATAGCTTCTTTGGGTACTTATAATGTAAAATAATGAAAAAAATTTCTCGACCTCAAATTTTGTGAACCAGGGGGGGGGGGTGTCTTTTCCAACAAACTAAAAATGGCTCGCGCACAAAATTTAAAAGCTGTAATAATATTTTGAGTTGATAGATTGAAAATCTGTCGGGATTTTAATTACTGTACAAAATTTCAGACAATTTGGTTTAGTTTAAGCCCTTTAACTATTCATTTTGTTCTAAAAAGTCAGCCTTTCGCATGCTTAATTAATGCCTTTACCTAATTTGCATATTGCTGACATATGCAAATTAGGCAATGCATTAATTAAGCATGCAAATAGCTGATTTTTCGGGAAAATTGTAACTTTGCGTGAATAGTTAAGGGGCTTAAACTAAACCAAATTGTCTGAAATTTTGTACAGTAATTAAAATCCCGACAAATTTTCCATCTATTAACTCAAAATATGATTGCAGCTTTTAAATTTTGTGCGCGAGCCATTTATAGTTTGTTGGAAAAGACACACCCCCCTGGTTCACAAAATTTGAGTTCGAGAAATTTTTTTCATTATTTTACATTATAAGTACCCAAAGAAGCTATATATATAAAAAACAAGATACAAATAGCTGTTTTGCGAAATTGAGAGCAATTTTAAATCTGTTCAGTTTTTTTTTATACACCCTGTATATGCGGTAATACAACTATAAAGGTACCTGATGAAAGTTGGAGCTATTCTCAGTACAATACTGGATTTTTCATAAATCGGATTTCCGTCATAAAAGATATCTCTGACGACCTTCGTGTCAGACGTAATACAGCAACCAGCTATAAATGCAAAAAATTTATAGAATTTTGGAATGTATTACAGGTGTGAAGACTATAGGTCTTGAGGTCTGTGAAACAATTACAAACATAAAATAGTATTTAGACACGCTTGCCCCAACATATTTATTTATTTATTTATATATTTATTTAGCTTCGCTTTGACAAAAAAGTTTTTAAACGTACACAATACAAGTACAACAATTCATATACAAGAGACATAACAAGAGGCGGGGACACCACAACAGTTTACACCAATTACTGTGGGCCCTGATATTAGGGAGTTTGCATGGCAACCTAGAACGGCAACGGCAAAATATAATTACTTATATTGTTGTATTTGAGCCAAAGTATACGTTACCACACTTAATTTGCCTCTTTAGGTATTCCTGTTTCTCTCAAACAGCCCTTAATTAAGTAAAAATAGTCCGCGAATTCAAATAAAACACCTCAAATAACATCTAACGATTTAACTGTTGCCATATAGTCATGCACCGTGAAAATGATGGAAATCATGTACTAGTTTTAACAGCTACGGCATTGCACCACGCTTAAGACCATGGTCCATGTAATTTACATTCGCCGTTGTATTTGCCAAACTCTCTATTGATTTCGGGGAGGGGGGCACGGCGTGCTGTAAACAAAAGAATACAAACAATATACAAAATACACTATAAAAGCACTGTATATTATAGCTACTGTATATACATTACAGATGTCAAGATACCCCTGGCTCCAGTTTACGTTTACGGGTAGCGTTATTTTGTTTAGAAATTTCCTCTAGTGTTTGCATGTTTGATCATACTTTTCTATTTGTTCCGATAGACTATGGTCTACTGCGAAAAAACATGTACAGCAATCACAACAAAACTCACAAACACGACGCAAATTTCAAAACAAAGTGACGCTACTCGTACCCAGGGTAGCTTATATCCTCTATATTATCAAATGTTTGGAGAGATGAGGCGGAGGGGAATTAATTGCTTGTAGAGTATGGAATTTCTTGTTATAACTGGAATTGAATATAGTAAGTTACTTTGTTAGTTTGGTATTTATTCAAAAATACTGTAGTATGTAGCTTGTGCTGCACTTGTTTTGCGTATGCTCAAGGCCCGGCACTGTAGTATTATGTCTGGTTTCATAAGGATTTTTTAAACGTGAATTTATGCGCACTTTGCATGCAACCCCCCCCCCTGGGAATGTAGCATTTTCAAGCTTACAAATTCCGCTTCCTCCTCCGAAAATTTACATTGATCAAAATAAGGATTTAATTAATGTATGAAAGGTGACCTGGGAATATGCACTCGCGAATCATCCGTGTTAAAAAATAATGATAAAATTGCACTTTCGCTGTATTTTGTGCCTGATAATCGGTAGCTTAACGGAGCAGTATACATGGGTAGGGAGATGCGTATTCCATGCAGTTCAAGGAATGTCGACCACGTTGCACTCGCAAAATTTGCTGACCGACTACAGTATATGTTACCAATAAATTACATTTATATAATACGGACCGAAAAGAAAAATATGCTTACCACGTGTTGTCGGAATACCTAGATGATGCATTGCCTGAAAACAATTACAGACTGAGATTAATATATTTTTAAAAAACGTTTATTTAAGGAATACAGACAACCAGGTTCTCTTAAAGCCGATTTAGACAACAAAACGTTTGCCTAAAACTGTTGCATACAACCTGCTTACAACTTGAGTTGTACTGTGTAGATCAAGCACAACTCACTTACGTTAATTGTCGTGGGCAGGGGCGAAACTTGAGGGGGTATTGGGCCCCCCCCCCCCCAAAATACGAATCATCCCGACAATTTAAATGACAGAATGTAGAGTTATTAAGTAACTTATTACAGCTAGCAAACAATAAGCAGTTCGTATGCATGTACATTGGCATCGGCAGTTCAATTATACACGTAGCTTAGTGATGTATTGTATTAGCGCTGGCGCTGCAGGCTACAGGGTATCATTGGTTTTGGCAGGACAATTCTGCCAGACATCCCCCTAATTAAAAGGGGCTAGTTTCGCCCCTGGTCGTGGGCGAGTTGTGTGCTTGATTTACACAGTACAACTCAAGTTGTAAGCAGGTTGCATGCGATAGTTTTAGGCAAAAGTTTTGTAGTTTAAATCGGCCTTTAAGGTATATCAATGTGTAAAATATGAAGTCGTCTTTATGCCAAGTCGGTATACTACACACCACGCAACTAGGATGTTGCTGTTCAGTTATATGTTTCAATGAGTTTCCCTCCATGGATTATGTATATAAGCACAGTAGTATATTACAGAACCATTATCAGGGATATGAAAAACTAGTTTCATATTATTCTGACACTGCAAAGAACAACGAAATTTCGTTGTCTTGATATTCAAACTCGCATCTTTGGATTTCTCCGTTGACTCGATAGCTTAACGGGTAGAGCGGCGGTCTAGAAACCGGAAGATGTGAGATCGAATCCCGCTCGAGACAACGAATAATTCGTTGTTATCTGCAGTGTCAGAAACTCAGAATAATATGAAACAGTGGTATATATATATATTATATAACAAGGTAATTTTTGCAGAGGAGAATAGTCGTGATGTGTGTGGATTAAAATTGCTAATATACTAAAATAGAGGTGTCCCACTGTCCTCGTTGTACAAGCAATTCATTATCTCTAAACGTATCGAAAGACAAAAAAGGAAGAATCATGACTTGTTTACACAAATTTATTGCATGATAGCGAATTGAATACAATTACCTCAGGCTCAGATAAAATTGTAGAAATGGAGAAGCGTGACGAGTACGATACATTCGATACTGTCTTCTAAAAAGCAGGCTAGGAAAAGTTTTAAGGAATATAAAGAGGAAATTTTTGTTTTCCCTTTTCCGAATCATCTCATATAAAGATTTTACATTCTTCATGAGGATTATTTCCTGACATCTTACATGTTACATACGATATGGACACCTAAAGTCTGAGAGTCTACCTCAGACGGTCAGAGGCAAACCCAGGAAAAGAGACAGCAGGACTCATCACATTAAGTTGGCATGTTGGAAATTTCCCAAATGAAAATTGCATGAACTTTGATAACTGCAATTCAGACAAAATTTTGGCTGGGAAAAAGGATTGAACTTTCAACATCAACATTCTCCTTTGTAAAATTACCAGATATCTCACACATCAATCATCATGGACTGGAAACTAATTGAAATGCATCAACTCCATGCAAAGCTACTGATATGATGGATTCCCTGATACATTATACAGGTGCTGAGTCAGCAGCAGCACTTGGCGAAGCTAACCATAGCAACTGGTCATGCTATTAGAGGTGTGCAAATCCGATCCGAAACCGATCCGTTCAGATTTCGGAACCAAAATATTCATTTCGGATCGGATTGATAAAGTTGTTTCGTAGTCGGATCGGACTTCGATATCCGAAATAAAATGAATTACTTATCCTCGTATTATCGCAAGAATTAATTATCCATGCATTTATCAAAGTATTATCGCGGTTGTCGCTGCATTATTCGTTTGATACTTCAATTGGACGTCACTTTGTCAGCTTCTTGACATGTATTTCTTGCTTTTGTATTTATTTGGTTAAATATTTCAACTGGAATGAGAAATTTATTTTATTAAAGAATTCTTCGGATCGGATCGGAATTCTTTATCAAAACTCGGATCGGATTCGGATTAGACAATTTCGGATCGGATTTTAAACATTAGGCAATTGTCGGATTATAAACGTCCAATCCGATCCGATGCACACCTCTACATGCTATGCACATTTTCAAATTATTGTATTATTCATACCTATAGAAATCCATTGTCTTTAAAGGCCATGTTACACGGTGCAATTTTTCTTGCAACTTGCAATGCAATTCTACTCTTGAGAGATGTTAATTAGTGAAATCAGTGAAGAATTTTCGATATGTTGAGAAAACATCAGCGGAGTGTAATGAAGACTCGTATTTGGCAATTTTACATCTCTCAAGAGTAGAATTGCATTGCAAGTTGCAAGAAAAATTGCACCGTGTAACATGGCCTTAAATTAATTGGGTTTATTTGGCACAGGTTTATTAATTGCCATTGGCTAGCTTTCGGCAATGCTCAGCAGCATACTATACATATACACCTGCAGCATACCTGCTTACCTAACTGATGATCATTTTCTCGAACGTTATATGGAAACGATATTACTAAAATCAAAAGCAAGCCGGCTAACCTCACTGCACAAAAATTCACGAATACTGGATCTCAAAACTTTTCGTCCATCAGCAGTCCTTGAAAACGGTGTTTTTCCAGCGCCTTTAAGTTGTATTTCCCATCTTTCACCATTGTGGTTCAAAACTTCACCTAAATATCTAACACAAGAGATTGTAGAGGTATAACTAAATTTATTAAATTAAAAAACAAAATAAATGCCAACCCAAACCCATAAAGGCCAAATGATGAACTGTTATGATGACAATTTTTCCTTTTGCAAACTCTCAAATCTTAACATTGAGCTAATGATCAGTTCTATTGACCCCTAGTAAGCAGAATTTAAGGAAGTCATAAGCAGTTTCTGTTCTGCAGGATTTGTTGACGAATTAGTGCCCTCAAAATGTGGACCTCAAAATGATGCCATTAAATGGGTCCAAAGCTTCAAAAAGAGATAATATTATATGCTTTAATTAACTAGGATTTTGTCATGCTCCAGCAGCCATTTCTGCAAACATTCTGAGATGTTCCTCCAAGTTAAATTTCGAGATGACAACCATCCCACAGATTTATTATTACTTGAAATCAGCACCGCATTGCAAAGGGGTATTCGAGTATGGTTGAGAGTGCCATTGAATGCAGTTGTTGGGTACCGACCATTCAAGATTATAAAGCAATTCATATGATTTGTTGAACATTTACAAACATATATACATACTGTATATATGATGCATTATTAGTTGGTAAAATTCGGGGTTATTTAAATATCTAAATCTTTGTAGCTTCGGTTCCCACTCAATTTTGAGCTAGACAAGTGTTTTTTTGTCAAATATTTATTTTTAAAAGTCCAGTTACAGTAGTCATGTTCAATTTATGGAACACCAAGGAAGCTGACTTTCGGTTTGTAAGACCAAACTTTGGTGAAGCATTGAGAGTTCAAGCCAGAGGTTGTGGGGCAATTCCCACCACAGTCATGAAATTTTTCAGATTGCCCAATGTGGGGATTGACACTTGAAGTAGCGTCATGTAGTATAACTTAGCAGAGCAAAACAAAGTAGTGGTGGGCGATACCACTACTAAAGTATCGATACTTTCGATATTCACAATTCAAAAGATGGTATCGATAGTTTTTTTAAAATATCGATGTTTTCAATATTTGTCATGTGACCAGATTATCGTTAATATTTAATGTTTGAAGTTCTTCGTTTACTTCTTTGCCAAATGAGCATGTAGTAACAGCTTTTCACAGTTTTTTTTTCAGGTTTTTCTTTTCGTGCTGGAAAATGGCAGAAATGGCATCAACATTTAATGTGCAGGTGCGGGGGTGCACCCCCTAGCCCTGGCCAGGGGGGTGCAGGGGGGTGCACCCCCTAGCCCTGGCCAGGGGGGTGCAGGGGGTGCTATTTTTCATGATAAAGCAAAAAATTATTAGAGACAAATTGATATTCAGTAATTTGAGTAATAACATCATGATAAGCGAACTGTGGTCAAGCAAGACTTTGAAGTAGTGAAGCAAGTTGATGTGCGGGTAAAGTCACTGGAAAGCAATTGCAACATACTCGTCCGTAAAAATTTTTTTCCCTAAAAAGTTGTCAATGGGGGGGGGGTATTTTTAAATAGGGACCCCTAAAAAAAATTGAGTGGGTGATATTAGGCATATGGATTGTCATCGAGTAAACCAAAGACAACAACATTATCAAGGAATGGGATTAGGCAGGGGGGCAGCGTTTTTTTTCACGATTTTCTCTTGGGTCCGTTTTTGCAGAGAAGATTGAATTTAGCTGACCAGCTGGGGGTGTGGTGCAGCTGCGGGAGGCTGACACATGTACCCAATAAGAGTAGTTGAGGTTTAAATTTTATCGAAATAAAATAAATCATCTTTTGCGTATTGCAAAACGTCAATATTATAATAGCTATTTTGATACAAATTTGCATAATAGTAAATTAATATGGAAAGGAATCAAAGAAATTATTCAACTGAAGCCAAAAGCCCATTTAGTTCCAACTAAAATTAAAGATGATAATTGTGAAATAGTTGATTCAAAAGAAATAGCTAATTCATTTTCAAAGTATTTTGCAAATATCGGTAGTAACCTCTCAAGTTCCATACCAAATGTAAATAAATCACCAATAGATTATTTAGATGAAACAGATCATGATAGTTTTTATATTTTTCCGGTAACAACTATAGAGATTGAAAATGAAATAACAAGTTTAAAAAATGGAAAGGCTCCCGGACCATTTAGCATACCAATTAAGGCAATGAAAATTTTAAAACATGTTATATGCAAACCATTAGAAATAATATTTAATGCCTCTATATCTGAAGGAATAGTTCCTGATAAATTTAAAATAGCTCGTGTTATCCCAGTTTTTAAAAAAGGGTCGCATAGTTTGCTGAATAATTATCGACCTATTTCACTTTTATCAATATTTAATAAGTTACTAGAGAAACTCATGTATAAAAGACTTCTTCATTTTCTCCATCGTAAAAATATTCTATACGAAAAGCAATTTGGCTTTCGTACCAAATATTCAACAAGTCATTCAATTTTATGTATAGTTGATAAAATTCAACAAGCTATTGAGCAGAAAAATCACTCGTGTGGGATATTTCTAGATTTAAGTAAAGCTTTTGACACAATCAATCATAATATTTTGATTAAAAAGTTGGAGAAGTATGGAATTCGAGGGCTAGCTCAGCAATGGTTTGTTTCTTATCTAAGTGGAAGAAAGCATTTTGTTTCTTTTCTGAGTAGCAATGGTGAAAATGTATCATCAGATCTATCTACAATAAATTGCGGTGTTCCGCAAGGATCTGTACTTGGTCCACTATTGTTTCTCTTGTATATTAATGATTTTCATAAATGTTCAAAATTATTGGATTTTCATTTATTTGCAGATGACTCAAATTTATTCTATAAACACAAAAATCTCTTGTCACTTGAGTCTGATGTTAACAGGGAACTAAGTAATATTCATGTTTGGCTTTGTGTAAATAAGTTGTCTCTCAACATAGAAAAATCTAATTTCGTTTTATTTCATCCAGTCCAAAAGAAAATAACATGTGCCATCAAATTGAAGATTAATGGTATTGAATTAAAAAGAGTGCAGAGTATGAGGTATCTTGGAGTTTATATTGATTCTCATTTGAATTGGAAATCCCATATTGATTATATCGCAAAAAAACTGAAAAGAAGTATCGGTCTACTCTCTAAAATTCGTTATTTTACCAACCTGAATACCTTGATAAAGTTATATTATGCTCTAATTCACCCTTTTCTCATTTATGGTATAATATCTTGGGGTATGACATATCCTACATCTTTGCGACCTTTATTTATTTTACAGAAAAAGGCTTTGCGTATAATTAACTTTTCTAAATTTGATGCTCATTCCACACCAATATTTAAATCTCTAAAAATAATTAAATTACATGATCTTTTCACTCTACATGCCACGATGTTTATGCATGATTATTATCACGAGGAATTACCACCTATCTTTAATAATCTTTTCACTCCAGTCAAAGAATTACATACTTATAATACGAGGTTAGCATCAAGGCAGTCGTATTCTTTGCCAAAAACAAGAACTAATTATGGAATTTTTAATATTAGATACCAGGGTGTTAAGATATGGAATTCCCTTGATGAGGCCGATAAAAAATTGTCAGTTTTTAATCTAAAAAGTAAACTTAAGGAAATGTTTTTTTATTCATATTAGCCTATTGCTCTGTTCATTTATGTATCGAATTGTTGAATTGCTTTCATTATTTTTAGTTATTGATTTTGCTAAAACATTCTAAATTTTAATAATAATTTCATAATTATATGGTGTTTTGCTTCTCTCTGTGGTTCTGCTAAATTGAGTAAAATATTTATGTAAATTAACTACTTTATATATTAAGCTTCGTTATATCTGTTTGTCAAGCGTTGTGTGTAAAACGTCTGCCTGATTCATCTAGCCCCTTAATGGTTATTTCGGGCAGACGGAACCCATGTCATGTCAAAAAATTAATGTAATGTAAAACTAATGTAATAAGTGGGTTCAAATAAAATGTCTTGTCTTGTCTTGTCTATAAACTGGTTATATGGCGAATGTGTTGTTTTTGTTTGTTGATTGTCGGGTTTCCGACTGATACTAATTTCCACACGTCACGAATTTAACTCAAACAACTTCATTTTTACTGCACTGAAACTTTGGTGAGAAGATTGAGTTTCAAAACTCAATTCAAGATTGAGTTTTTGGGGCTGTTTTACGGTCCTAAAAAATCCCTGAAAAAAACCCTGGGGAGGGAGAGGATAATCTACCTGCCTGTAACCTGCATCTTGCATTATATCCTGAATTTCCATGATGTGTAAATATGCATACATATGTTTATTATTATATATGTAAATATGTGTATATTAATATTATGTTTAAGTAATGAGTCATGACTGGTTTGCTCAATTTTGATTGGGCATTGATCTATATATAAGTAATATAACCATAATTTTAAATAGCTGCTGTCCATATCTTCAATATCTATGATATAGATCACTGGTGCACACTGCAGGACAGTAATTTGGGCTGTTTTCAAAAATATCTCAGTAGTGCAAAAGCTGCAAATATAGGGGTATAGGGACAGGAAACAATTCCCAACCTAGGGGGTTCAGGGGTATGCCCCGGGAAATTTTGAAAATTAGAACCCTAGAAATGCCATTTCCTGCGATATGGGCATTGAATTATGAGCTTCAGTTTGACTTCAAAGGAAAAACCTTGGAAATGATGCCATATTTCTGAATTTGATTTTATTGCACCCCTGTTGACCAAGGCCACCCCCCCCCCCCTATAAATCCACCCCTGACTGAAGTGACTGTCCCTTCAGCAGTGGCGTGCTGGGTACTATTTTTCTGGGGGGGGCCAGTCGGCTGGCAACTAATATGCGCCCCTATAATATTACCCTTGATAAACGAGGGCCGAAGGCACGAGCCGAGCGCCGCAGGTGCGAGGTTTGTCTAGGGGGGTCCGGGGGCATGCCCCCCAGGAAAATTTTTGAATTTAGAGTCTCTGAAATGGCATTTCCTGGACTTTGGGAGAAGATTTGACAGAAATCTGATGGTCAGGAAACGGCATTACAACGTGTCGAAATTTGAAAATTGGTTAGAATTTAGTAGTAGCACTTAAATTGGGCAATGCTAACTACTTCCACAAATTAATCTAATCCCAATTCTATTCTCTACTGATCTGAATACATTTACAACTTACAGCTCTTTTATACAATAACACACGGACCCCACGCATATGCATTTTAAGGTTTCCTTTGCCTGGCTGCCAAAAGGGCGTGTTTCATCATTATCTCATTACTTACATTACTCATAATGTTTCTTGCGCAAACAATTAAATTGCGTACACAACTGTACATTATCATACTTCAACTATCTAATTTGCGCCGCTCTCGTGATTCGTGAAGCATAATAAAGGGCATAATATAAGGGTATAATACCAGCAAAAAAGGCGCATAATTCCCGTGATCGCTTCGAAGTCTGATCAATATTCCGGTAATGAGACATTGCGTGTGATCACTGATCATGTTTCTATATGAACGAGTGATTTCGTGTGAGTCGTGAGGTAGCAAATACGGTTAGACAAAATAGTCTGCAATTTAATATACTCACTTTGTCGCCTATGCGCTTAGTCTGTTTATAAGTCTATAAACACATCTTTCCTTGGAGGAATTCGTAAGTAATTTTTTCGAATGCGTTTCTTCCCACCTACTTCAAAATTCGGCGCCCCCTTTTCATTTTTGCGCCCCCCAAAAATTGCCAGCTGGGGGGGCCGTGGCCCCCCGGCCCCCCCTGGCAGCACGCCACTGCCCTTCAGTATCCTATACCATATTAATAATTTGAATGTCAAATACATACATTGCTGCACCATCTCCAAGCTGGCCAGCAAAACTTCCAAATTGATGACCACAGTAACAATGAGCAGCAGTTTGTGAGCCGGGTAGTTTCGTATTTCCACTAAAATACTCGGCAAATTCTGCTCTCTCCACTTGTTCTCGAGTCAAATCAAGCAAACCCATTGCGCTTTCTGAATGTACTACTACCTCGGGATCCTTCACTGCTGTCGGGTCCACAAGCGAGAAACATGCATTTGGAACTTGCCGAACAAAATTCTGTTTTATCGGGTCGATTGGTAGAGACCGCAAGACCAAATTATCAAAATTCAAAGTCTCCAAAGTCGCCATGTTGTTTTTGTCTGCAACGCTTTCACACCAGTTTCGTTTTAAAAGCAATCCATATGCAGACAGGCTTCTGCCAAAATATAAATCTTGGATAACGTTAAAGAATTTCGGTAATTTGAAATGCCTTCTCAATTCACGACATAAAGGAAACATGAGGCATGTTTGGAGTATGCCGAGTATCTATTCAAAAGTTTATACTCCATTTAATCCATTCTTTTCTATTTTGATTCGCTCGATCATGATCATGCGCAGAATTGAAGGCCAACCAATAGACGCCCTCATGCCACCCACTGATCTGGCTAGCGATTTTTGCACTCACAGATCTGCAAATTTCAAGTTTAGTTGGGGCTTTGAGTTTGGGGGCATCAAGGAAAAGGGATCTATATATTCACCTATACCATATGTAAAGCGATTGTATAGTATGAGCGGCCTAGAGCAAGGAGCAGGACGTTTAATACTTGGCTGTCTTCATGCATATATACTTTTCATGATACATATGAATATTGATAGCGTGTCGCTGGTCTGGAATATTTGAACTTACTGTCTTACTGATCGTGCAATGGGTATCTTCAGATATAAACTTCAATATAGCTAGAATGCAACCCTATAGTATTTACTTTAATAGTTTAATAGTGATTTAGTGAACTTCCCAAGCAAACCATAAAGGTGGTGAAAATTATTTGCGGGAGAGGGACTTCAGCACCTCCACTCGCTTCCGCGATCAATCTAAGGGCCTGATTCCACGGGCGCTTTTTCTCGGCGAAATGCGAAATATTTCGCATGTTTCTTTTGAATTGCGACCACTCGAATAAATTATTTCTACTTGATTGCTCACAATTCAAAAGAAACATGCGAAATATTTCGCATTTCGCGGAGAAAAAGCGCCCGTGGAATCAGGCCATAAGAGGTAGGGAATGGGAGAAGTGCATGTAAGTGACAGTGTGTAACTGGCAAGTGTGCGTGGAAGGCTCAAAAATACCCCTGCATCTTTTATATATTCAACCAATACAGATTGAGCTTTATGTATAAAAACAAGGTTTGATTACTGTAAGGGAATATAAACATTCATCTGAAAGTCAGTCTTCCCTTTTCCCCTTATAATTTAGACTAAAGGGACCTTTTATACTCATGCAGCCTGGAGGGGCCCAAATAGTTTATTGACCAACAGCTTCTGATGTCAAAAGGCCCTGGTTTAGAGCTGTGGCACCATCTACTGTATGCACTGCAATCTACTCGCCTGTCTGGTATATATATATATATATATATATATATATATATATATATATATATATATATATATATATATATATATATATATATATATATATATATATATGCATGTGAATATATAGGTCCTTTTTCCTTGATGCCCCCCACCACTGACAAGTTCTTTTTTATGGGGCCTTGTTCAATTCAATCTCTTCAGTATAACGTTTATTATCTTTCAAAAACTAAACTTTAAATATTTTATGTTGTTTTTTACTTTGCTATGTGTTGTAAATGGCAACTGTCGGACATAAAAATGATAAAAGAAACACTTATTTGTATTTTAAAACGTAAATATGTATGTATGTACAGTGTACACTATATTATATAGGCATGGCACAATATTCTTTGTTTTGAATTTAAATATTTAGTTGTTTTTGTTATATTATATACCTGAATCTTGCATCAAAATTCGTTTGGTTAAATTTTTCAAAAAATTGTTACGAAAGTCATTGGTGGCGCCATTTTGATTGATTACCGAATATTTTATTAATATACAAATAATGACTGTTTATGAGTGCAATGGTAAGAATATTTTCATGAGGTGAAAGATGGAATGTTCCATTCAACGAGGCGACAGCCGAGTTGAATGGAACATTCCATCTTTCACCGAATGAAAATATTCTTACCATTGCACGAAGAAACATTCATTATTTGTTTTATATAATACCAAAATAGACCAATAGATTCGTATGAGAAGCATTTTGAGGGATGCGATTTATCGAAAACACAAAGAGTGCAATTGCACTATACGTTTTATTCCATTGCACTCGCGGAGAGTGCAATGGAACGTGTTCCATTGTACTCTTGGGAAATGGAATTTTCTATTCAATATCACGTGACCATAAACAGCCAATTAACTGATTAAATGCTGTGCTGAATGGTTATATTACTACCTTAAAAAATAAGCAGAAACTCGACGTTTCGAGCGAAGGCCCTTCGTCAAGAATACTCTACATTGGTACTACCTACACTGGTACAGACAGCTTTAGTAATTAAATGATTAGAATTTAATAAGGTATTATATAATACGGACCATTGCGTACAACAGTATAGTTCATCAGAAAGTCCTAAAAGGACATATTTTGATAAAAAACATACATGTTACAAGCATTAACAGAACGAATGAGTGTTCCAGTTATCAGGCCATTCTGCAGATATAACAATTTTAGTCAGGCAAATAGGAGGGAAAAACTCAACCGATCACTCGATCAGGGGACAATACACCCTTCCGGAAAGTACGTCACTTTGGCCATAGAGCCTCGTTTTCGTGTATCTGACACCAGTTGAAGCTCACGTCTCAATCACGAAAACGAGGCTCTATAGCCAAAGTGACGTACTTTCCGGAAGCGTGTATTCTATTTTGCCTTCATCTTGTATTTTTAAGGCTATTATTGTAAGTACATTTCTGTATGTTGGCATCGTTCAAATGTCTTGTGGATTCCTGCCAACACGTTTTTCTTCGATTTTCCTATTAAACACCCATATTGTTAAAAACGTGAAATTTCAGGTTCATTTATAGAAACAATAACTTGCAGCATTAGAAAGGATACAAAAACTGCATATAAGGGAGTGGTCATTATTTATGGGGAGGGGGGGTGTTGGGAAATGGGGAAAATAAGGATTGAAAACTTTTTTGACCCACCCCCCCTCCAGACTGAAGGGAAACTTTTTGTGCCTCCCCCCTCATTAATGTAGAAACTTTTCTCCCCCCCCCCAGTGTGGATTGAAAAATTAACAGCAATGAAACAGGTGTGCGTTGCAGGTAAAGTTAGATATTAGGACAATCTGTTTAATCTAACTCATGATGTTTTACCCTGGTGAATATGATTCAACCATATGATTAAAAAATATATATTATGTGTTACTACTTTGCAATGCAACATTTGTCCTACCATAACCCACGACCCGTCTTCATACAGCGAAATGATTTGAACACAGGTTTTTTTTAAGAACTTGTCTGGGGGGTGGGCATTATATTGAGTGTGTAGAGACGACAGATGGTTGTTGGTGACAAAAAGTTTGGTGTGGTATCGTATGTACTAGTAGGGGGGTCTGGGGGTATTCTCCCCCAGAAATTTTTTTGTATTTTTCCACCCCTAGAACTGAAATGCGAGCATTTTCTGAAACAGATTTTTGGATATACAGCGTTACATTGTGCGTTGATAGACCGAATCTGATCAGTTAAGTGTACCTGCATGGTATGTTTATGTAAATACCACAAATGGGTCACTTAGGGGGTAGAAAGCTTGTTAAACTTAGTGGGCCCGACTCCCACGATCGCGAGGCGCTACCATGGTTGGCGCCGAGCAGGGAAATTTTGAAAATTTTAAGTCTCTAGATCGTTGGAAATAGCATTTTCAGAGTCTTCGTTTTTGCTATTTGTGATTATAGAAATCAGAACTCTAGACATGGTATTTAAGTTCAAAAACTTTTATGACCCCCCCCCTTTCTCTGTGTTAAAACTTTTTTGACCCCCCTATTTATAAGGGTAAAACTTCGTTTGCCCCCCACCCCTCCCATTTCCCAACCCCAACCCCCCCTCCCATAAATAATGACCACTCCCTAAGACATTTAAACGGTTACAAGTTTTTAACAATGTACGAGTTTAATAGGAAAATCGAAGAAAAACGTGTTGGCAGAAGCCCACAAGAAATTTGAACGTCGCCAATATATAGAAATGTACTTACCATACAAAATGAAGGCAAAATGGAATTATCCCCGGATATGGCGAGTTCTCATTCATTGCTGTCCTCTATATGCCCGATTATTTGATCCCAATAATATACATGAAAAACGTTCTCAATTCTGATTGACGAAGAGCAGTGCAATGTTTTCGAAATACAGTGCCAAAAAATGAAATACAGTGGCAGTGCAAAAAGAAAGAAATACAGTGCAAACCTCTTAATTTTCTTAATTTTTTATTCTTCAATTTTTTTATTTCTTAATATCTAAATGTGACTTTTAATACGCACGAGACTGCATAATTTTTTCATGTATATTGTTAATATAAGTATATACTATGGTTTCTCGTGCAATTTGAAAAAACACAACTCGTGAGTTTTTCAAAGACTTCAAATTGCACTCGATCAATTTTGATCGTCTTTGAAAAACTCACCCGTGCATGTTTTTTTCCTAAATTGTACTCGAAACCATACTGTTACCTATACAAATGTTGCATGTGGCCATCGAGAAAGAAAAAAGTATACATACTTGAATTTTCAAAGAATGATCGGTTACATTCTCGTACCCAGAGCCCTTCTTACGCGCGCTGCGACGAGGGGCTCTGGTCAAATCCAAAACCGGATACCATAAAAACATGGTAAAAGAATATATCCGGTATTAGAACAATAACCTTCGTTGTAGCCAATCAGATGCCAGTTTGATATGGATTTGGCCAGAGCCCCTCGTCGCACTGCGCGTAAGAAGGGCTCTGGGTACGAGAATGGATCGGTTATTGAACGCGAACCTCTCGCAGTTAGTTATATAGCACCTGGGTAGGAGGCAGTTTAATTGATATACAAGTTCTATTTATATCCATTCATGCAGCGGTTGATAATTGGTTAACAGGTTTGGACATGTTGATATGGTTATACTTACAGATCTTTTCAATAGTTCTTTTTCTGTTTGCAGTTGACATATACAGTATAGTTCTGCTTTTCAAAAAGGACATGCATGTTAAATATACAGTCATACATAGCAAAATTTTAAATTTACTATATGTTATCTTGGAATATATATATTTTTTTCCTGACATTGAACTGCAAATTACTGCCTGCTTTCAGCATACAATTGTTCTCCCGTAGTTACAGTGAATGTTATGACCTTTTTATTTCAATGTGCAGCAACGATTGATGACTTTTTTCAAACAAGATCATTATACTGTGTCGAGCCAACCAAATCAAAGTTTAGGAATCAGAATCAGAGTCGGATTCGTTAACAGGTGCTGACTCAAGTTTCGGTATGGTACTGCTAGACATCCCACTGGCTTTTAGATGTTCCTTGGCTTCTACAGATTCAGGGAATCGTTGGTGGTACCGTTTTAAAGTAAGGAATTTCACAGTTACCAAACGACCTGAAGATAAATATACAAATAAATAATTTTTGGAAGCTGCTGAAACATGATATTGAAGAAAAACTTATCTTTTCTTAGCAGTGTTAAGAAGAGTAATTTGCTATGTTCAAACGGAGTAGAATCACTTGCTCAAAATCAATTTCTGAGTGTATCAGCCAGACATCTCAATAGACAGAGCGCGGGTATCGTTAAATCAGAGACCTTAATGGGTTTCCGGTTGGACACTATTTTTCAGCACATGATTCGACATAATTTGGATACCGCAAGTTACTAACAAACTGGATTTGAAGAAATATATACTGCAAAATAGGTCTTAGCTTTGACCTATGCTTTATATGGATCTTTATTTTAATTTGTGTATAATTGTCAACGCTAAAGTTTAATTCCGAGAACATCAGAGAAGCGAGAATACCGGATTGTTTGGCCACATTTTGAGATGAGGGGAAAAAGGCAGTTGCGTAACGTTCATTGGATAGGGTTACGGCCCCCGACAGTCATGGGCCCCGTCGGCCACGCCCTATCGCCCAGAAAATTAGAAAACGTAAAAAATGCAGGTTAAGAATCAATGGGAAAATACAAAATTAATAATGATATTAAAAATAATAAAGCCTCCATCGACAACGGTAGCCGATTTTTTTATTCCATCTCAAATAAAACAAAAGTTATTCTTATTAGTTGTTACATGTGTTGGAGATAAATATTTTAATATAAATATAATATCAAAGTCAAACAATGGCAACAATCAACAGGGCCCCCACATGCACCAAATATGCCTAAAGGCCTACTCTTCCTCCGTTACGCCACTGAAAGAAGCTCCCGAAAGTTAATAGGCAATTCCAGCTTTTAGTTTATGCGTGCAGGGGACGATGGGAAGTAAGGTATCACATTGCTGATTATGCTGAAAAAATTAAAATGGTGGCCGTGTAAACACGGAGTGATAGCTTATACTTGTAAATATTGAAATATTTCGGTTGTTTCGGTAGTTTTTATTGAAATTTTTCAGCATAATCAGCAATATGATACCTTACTTCCCATCATCCCCTGCAGGCATAAACTAAAAGCTGGAATTGCCTATTATAGAAGGTCGAAGAACGGTTGAGAGACATAGGATAAGATCAAGACATACAGTCAAGACATACAGTCAAGACATACAGACAAGAGAGCATGCACGTAACCTAAGAGAAGAGGGAGTCCATGGGATAGAGAAAAAGCTAATGTTAAATTCGCACATGTTAACATTTGTGCATGATTTTGGATAACAATATTAAGATTAGGGAAACACGGTGCTAAAATAGCAAACATAGCAGTTACTATAACTCTAAAATACACGATGCTTGAATGCACGAGTGCGCAAATACATAATTGCTAACATTATGCGACAAAAGTATTGAATTTAATTTATAAGATTTGCGAAATTTCACATTTTGCAGAAATGGAGGTTGCCCTGGCATACATTTACTACCATTACTTACCATCAAACCAACAACCATGTATAGCACGAAAAGCGGCACCAGATGAACGATGGTTTGCACATTTTACATAAACGCAGCCCTAAACATAAAACAATCCAGATTATGGAGGTTACTGTTTGACAGACTTCAAAGATTGAAGTATAAAAATAACTGGAATGAAAATTTCCTTATCGGATTATAATTGAAACCGTATGACTTTTTATAAGGCGCTACCTTTGAAGAACGCATAGGGCCACAAAGGTGAAATTGTGTATTTTCTTATGGAAGAATTTTTAATATAAGACTATTAAATTTATATGCATGGTTTCAGCAATAGTGAAGTTGGCAAGCCCTGCTTTTTGCGCTTCAAATTAAGCGTTGTATGCATGTTTTCGTGAATACTGTGCCTTTAACTTATATTCACCGTGCAAGATAGAACATTTTTATTTATTTTTTTTTATTTTTGTTATTGAAATACCGTCAGTACCACGGTTTTCAAATTGAAGTCCCCAAACTAGTACTTGCTAACTTTTACCTATACTCTTTCCATCACCGGTATTCAAGAATTCTGCAGCAATATTATGTATTCGCCAGACGTCAATTCTCAAAATGGTTTAAAAGGCGCGATAAAAGCGGATTGCAGATTAATATCTTCATGCACTTACCTCATTAGATGCTTTATCAACTGATATATGGACTATAGCGGCTTCTTTTTCAGTGCATTTCTCCAGTATAGCATCTTGAATAAATACATGCCATTGATCCTGAGTTTCCCTAAATGACAAAGTCATAAGGAACATGTTTAGAAATTAATTAGTTTCTAATAACTGGGCGAACAAATATTAGATCAGCAAATACAGTATAAAACGCATTGTGTTACGCATGCACGATAAGCAAAGCGCATAGTTACATTAATTTAGATAGACACTTACATGACCGGTTCAAACATATTTCGTATCTTTAAACATGGAGTTGGACTAATCAAAGGAGGATTAACAGCCGTTGTGAAGTTTTCAAAAGCTAATCAAGATAAAGAAAAAAATAAGAAAGACATAAAAACGCAGCAGAAATTCCCAGAATTAGTAATATAACGCTCGTTCACAAGACCGTTGTTGCTTCATGTTCACGAGCATGTGGATCTCTGTCATGTGGCGAAGGGAAATACTATAGCAAAGATTAGCGGTACATTGGAATCATGCTTGAGCATTATTAGGATATTTCACGTGGCTATATTTTCTTGTCGTTGGCTATAGTTGCTACAATTTTCGCAGACAAAAAGTGCATATCTTCGGATACGTTATTGGCTGCATGTGGGAGTCACTTTAATATGATCCCATTTCAAACAACTTTATCAACCAGTAATCGTTGAAGTTTTGCATCAGAAGATAGACTGCAATCCGCCATAATAAAGAAGATGCGAAATTTTGTGTCTGCAAAGCGAAGTCTTTTGTTAAAAATATGAAATTTTCGGTCCACGAAAGAGCACGGTGAAATCGACATGTCCCTGGATGCGGACCCCAAAATCCACGGTTTTGTAAAAGAAATTACCAAATTCATAAATTGGTAAATTATTATTTAAAATACCTGTTCCCTGCCATACTTTTCCTTGTTTCACATTTGAACCCTACAAAGAAATATAATGATGTACATTATTAAATCGTTGTTCCATAACCTGTCTTCTGCGAAGAAATCTCTGTCCGGTGGATAGCGCTATATATCCGGCCTTCGCACAACCAAAGTCAATAGTTTCTGTAACCTTAGAAAAGCAAGATATTTTACCGACGGTGACGAAGGACTCCCAGGTGTAGAGTGATGTAATAAACGCCAAACTTCAAAATCTTCACCAGCAATACGTTGACTTTCCACACGAACACGCGACTCTTGCGCACTGAGAAACTTCACTGCATCATCCCAAGCAGACTTCATAGACTCTCTGCAACAGAACGTACTTTTCTCTTTCATTTAAAACATGGACAGATCCAGGCTTATCAAGCAGGCGAATTGCACTCTTTCATTACAAAACCCTTGTGTGACAACTACACAGGCGCCGCCAAACACAACACTCAATGACGACAATGTCAAAATTTCGGTGGTAACGTTTCTGGCGGTGTTATAAACAGCATGGGCTGTACAACCTTCTCTGAATCTTCATGAATATTGTACTTTGCACTTTTATAAATATTGTTCACTTTCAAGAAAAAAATATTGATAAAATATCTTATTAATTGATCTACAGTCCAATATGCTCCTTAAATATTGTACTTTGCACTTTTATAATAGGTAGTTAATAATAAGTATATAACATTGTTAACGTAAATTTTAATATTTAATATTGTAAATATCCTTTCCATGCAATTCAGCTTTAGCTGCAAAATGGATTTTATTAAACTAATAATAATAATAATAAAAGATTAATATGAAATTTATGCTTGTTACGTTTTGGCCTCTTGAAGTCACCTGGCTACCATAACTTATACTTTATCTTGTTTTGTGTTTTATATTACGATATATATTATGATGACATCGCTAAACATTCAAAGCTACCAAATCCCTGTGAAATACATGAGGCGAATGCTCATACCTTTCCGATGGCTTAATCAACATGTCTCGAACATGAGGGATGGCTAAGTATGGATTCAAATCTTTGTTTCGCTGGCACTCATTGTGATGATTCTTTAAAACCTCTAAAAACACAATACAATATTAGTATAGATGCCTGTTGCTAAGGCCAAATAAAAATAATAGTTGGGTTCAGGTTTCCGACCGACCTGTCAAAAATATGACCGACCATAAACATTTTATTGACTTTTCCCAGTAGAGATCTTAAATAGCCGAATATATAAATAGTCATTAGACTTGTTTATCTACAAATTATTTTGTTTGCTTATAATTTAATCATACAGTCATGTTAATCATAGTTTTACACAAAGAACAGTTGAATAAAATATTAAAAACGTATCTGAAATGGCAGCTACTGCTGAAAAAAGGGGAAAACGCCTTGATGTGTTTATTTCTCGCGAAAAACATGTAGCTCACGGGTTATCCTGTTATTGCATACTTGATATAAAATATTTTTTTAAATAAAATGTTTTTCCGACCTACCTACCCATATAAAACATGGCTGTGAAACCTGAAACCAGCAATTTTTTTTATTTGGCCTAATAGAAACTATAAGCGGTTTCATTTCACGAGGTGGTTGGGGCATTTTTCAGGTTTAATTATCTCCAAATAGCTTGTCGACTTTTCAGGTGTATTATCGCTGACAGTTTGGATATTTTAGGAGCAATTATAACCAAACGTGTGCTACGCGATATAACAGTATTATGACTTTCAATATCAGTTTGCGAAGGCACGCAAAATTGAGTTGGCCCCTGCGCATGTTAGAAACCTTGCCCAGGTTGATCCTCCTGCACGCCCATTTTCAAGTTCAGGCCCTGTACAGGGTGTATCAAAAAAAACTGAACAGATTTGAAATTGCTCTCAATTTCGCAAAACACCTATTTGCATCCGGTTTTTTATATATGTAGTTTCCTTGGGTACTTATAATGTAGAATAATGAAAAAAATTTCTCGAACTCAAATTTTGTGAACCAGGGGGGTGTGTCTTTTCCAACAAACTAAAAATGGCTCGCGCACAAAATTTAAAAGCTGTAATCATATTTTGAGTTAATAGATAGAAAATTTGTCGGGTTTTTAATTACTGTACAAAATTTCAGACAATTTGGTTTAGTTTAAGTCCTTTAACTATTCATTTTGTTCTAAAAAGTCAGCCTTTCGCATGCTTAATTAATGCCTTTACCTAATTTGCATATTGCTGACATATGCAAATTAGGCAAATGCATTAATTAAGCATGCAAATAGCTGATTTTTAGGGAAAAATGTAACTTTGCGTGAATAGTTAAGGGGCTTAAACTAAACCAAATTGTCTGAAATTTTGTACAGTAATTAAAAACCCGACAAATTTTCCATCTATTAACTCAAAATATGATTACAGCTTTTAAATTTTGTGCGCGAGCCAAGTTTGTTTTTTTGGAAAAGACACACCCCCCTGGTTCACAAAATTTGAGTTTGAGAAATTTTTTTCATTATTCTACATTATAAGTACCCAACGAAGCTATATATATAAAAAAACGGATACAAATAGGTGTTTTGCGAAATTGAGAGCAATTTCAAATCTGTTCAGTTTTTTTGATACACCCTGTATATTGCTCACTTCAAAACATACGCAGCACCAGTTCAAACACATGCATGTCCTTTTTATACAGTTTCTAAATTTACATATGTGGCATGTGCACACGCCATGCATCAGTTTAAATATTTACATACAAACACGCATATATTTACAACAATACTTACAATCAAGTCTTACTTTTACTACTTCGACCAATTTTTCTTCCGCAAGAGTGTGGCTTTCGGCAACACACTTGTATGTTCCAGTGTCTGTTCCATCAACATTCCTGAGAGTTAATGTTTGTTCTTCTTTTCCTGTTCCACCAATCTGGACGCCATCTTTATCATACCAAGTTACATTAGCTGGGGGGTTTCCACCTTCACCTCTACATACACATGTGAAGTCATCACCTTCATTTACTGTGACGATGCTGGAACAATTGATGGTCACAGTTGGCGCAACTGAAATACAATCAAGCCATATAATGTAGGTTTTTCGAAATGCGTTTTTACAGTGAATGCAAGTAGTAAAGTTTTACTACTTGCATTCACCAAACATAATTTAATTAATTTTAGTGTTTTTGGCTCTAACTGAAAGGATTTTAATTGAGATAATTTTCGATTAAAATTTGGACTATAATATAGCCCCTTGCCAGACCAATTTTTTTTCGTCCTCAAAATTTATGTCAACGCGGGGGGACATGGTCTCCGGTCCTCGAATTTTAAGTAGCTGCAGCGCCCTCCTCTCGTGTGTTCTATGTATTGTACTTATTGTCGGAATCAGTAAGAAAATAATTAATTCCCACACCACTGTCAGTATTCTGTACTCAATATTACAGTTTGGAGCAATTTTTGCATGCAGCTGTTCATGATCTATTTTTGGCCATCCTTTTAACTTGGATTTCTACTTTGTAATGTATTTCCATGTTTTATTTTGACATTTTGTATATGAAATTTCCATCTTCAAAGCTCTTCAACAATATACGCATATAATTGACCTTTCCGTTTTGCAACAGTCAATCAAATCAGCCAAACATAATCCATACACTTCGTATGGAAATGTATATTGTACTTATCTGAACCAATCAAGGATAAAGAAATTTGTTATTAGCTAAAAATAAGATAAAGAACTGTGGCACTGTGCAAAATCTTTTCGCGACAAATAGGGTAAAAAGATACAGGATATTAAACAACAGACACTTGCCCGCAACAAACACAGTAACTTCAGACGCATAGACTTGAACACTTGCAACAACAATTAGAAATATGTATGTTCCATTGTACTGGATAGTAACGTTCTTTAAAAGCAACGTTGAAGGCTTTGTTATCGTAATCGGCCCAGGTGAATATTGGGGCTTTTTAACCACAGCTCCGTCTCCAGTGATATCAGCGAAAGTGCCGTTGTTCTTTGGAAGGAATGTCCACGCTCGAAAATCTACGCGAGATATACTGACACCAAGTTTCCACGCTATTTTCACATTTTCTCCAGGGAGAACAACAAAGGTGCTGGCACCTGGCGGGAGGGAGATTTGACCTATACAAGGGAGAAATGGTGAAATATACCAACTCCCAACATCCATCACGTTGGAATCGTGGATGTATTCTGGAATGACCCATTATAGCAGTTTACAATTTTGGTGATGCAATTTTTTTATAATAAGTTCTGCAGTCTTTCTTGGGG